CCTCACACCTCAGGGAGCCTGACAGCTGGGTGGACAGCGCTTCGGATTCGTAGTCCTGAGATTCCGGGTTCGATCCCAGGTGGAGGCAGAGACAAATGGGGCAAGGTGTTTCTTTCACCCTGATGCCCCTCTGTTACCTAGCAGTAAATAGGCACCTGGGAGTTAGACAGCTGCTACGGGCTGCTTTCTGGGGGGTGGAGGACCGGGCCGCGGGGACACTAAGCTCCGAAACCATCTCAAGATAACGTCAAGATAACCTCAAGATAACACCTCGGTGTTCCTGAGGGTAAAATTCATGGAGACTTTAACAATAAATGGGTAGAGTTTCTTTCACCTGATTTTTCCTGTTCACCTACTCACCTAGCAGTAAATAGATACCTTGGAATTAGGCAGGTGCTATGTCTACCTTGTATCTACCTTATGTAGCTTCCGGGGATCACTAGCCTCGTGGCCCGGTCTCCGACCAGGCCTCCCGGTTGGTCGTTTGGTCAACCAGGTTGTTGGACGTGGCTACTTGTAACCTGACGTATGAATCACAGCCTGGTTGATCAGGTATCCTTTGGAGGAATACCTGATCAGTCCTCCACACACACACACACACACACACACACACACTGACTCCATACACAGTTTTAAATGTAGATATGATAGAGCCCAGTAGGCTCAGGAATCTGTACACCAGTTGATTGACAGTTGAGAGGCGGGACCAAAGAGCCAAAGCTCAACCCCCGCAAGCACAAATAGGTGAGTACAAATAGGTGAGTACACACACACACACACACACACACACACACACACATCCTTGGAATGTGTGTGTGTGTTATAGAGAAATATATATAGTAGATATGATATGTAGTAGATATGATATGTAGTAGATATGATATGTAGTAGATATGAGATTAACTAAGCTCTACGAAATCTGTATCTATTAGATATTAGAGTGCGCTTGTGTGGTTGTCTAGGCTGGAAGTCTAAGGCTAGCCTTATTCAATTTTTACACAGGAAACAAATGGGGAATGGGCGTGTCATAGGTCGGTTTGGATGGGCTCTGGTGCCACACTTTAAGAAATATTGGCATCTAATCCAGCCCCCCTCCCCTCCACCCCATGCGATTTTCATGAAGTCTGAAATGTTGGTTCTGTTGTCCGTAGATTTAGTTATGTTATTGGTTATGTGAGTGGGAAGACTGGGAGGGAGAGAGAGAGAGAGAGAGAGAGAGAGAGAGAGAGAGAGAGAGAGAGAGAGAGAGAGAGAGAGAGAGAGAGAGAGAGAGAGAGTAGAAGAGACAGAGTTTACTTTTGTCCAGAACCAAAGGTGTTCAGGTCTAACACACACACACACACACACACACACACACACACACACACACACACACACACACACACACACACACACACACACACACACACACACACACGGGGCAGTCCGGCTCTGGCACAACCTTTTACCCAACTCCATCACAAAGTCTGTGTGTTATCCCATTCAACGAGGCCGGCGACTTTTGTTCAATTGCAACTGTCACTCATTCATGACACGTGAAAATTGGAAAGAAAATGGTGCTTTTCATTTGTCTGCGGCGCCTCAACCCACAGTAAGGTTATTGGTACACAAGCTTGAAAGAGCTTATGGTGACTGAAATGGACTTCAAAATGTCTTACGGAAATATATATAAATGAAGGAATAATAGCGCTTTTGTTCTTGTTCTCTTGCTATGCTTCCTCTCAAGCTCTCACAAGTCAAGCCGGGCTTGGGGGAGTAGAAGAACTCCCAGAACCCCATCAAGCAGGTAAGCTATGCTCCTCTCCTTTGCTGAATAAGCACCAGCTCACATATAATCGCCTATTTATCAACCAGAAAAATGCCTTCAGGTCTAAGTACCATCGCCGCGAGCCTTCCGGAGGGAAAGGCTTTTTCCCGCCGGAAAAAACGGCAAAACAAAATACAAACGGCGCCAGAGAAGCTGGGATTACAAGATTCAGGTGAGCTGAAGGAATTACGCGCGCTTGCAAAACTTGTGTATTATATTGCGGCTGAAGAAGAAGCCGGCTCTCGAGACAAAAATGATGCTTATATACGATGAAATCAGTGCATAGGGAATTACGGGCTTAAGCCTCTGGGAGCACGCTCAGGTGATTAAAAATCTGGGCGGTATTGACCGCATTTGGGGCGGCTGGGGTTCAGGCCGAACTCGGGATCCCCGCACTTTCTCCCCCGCCCGGATAGAATCAAATTGGTCAATGTTAAAAGTAGGTTTTGAAGTGGTCGTGGTGGGAATTTTTTGAAGCATCGTGATTGTCCGTTTTGTTTTATGGTCACGGGTATTCTGATAAGCTTATGTATTGTGGTCAATTATGGGTATGGAGGGTAGAAATAGCCTAAGCTACTCTATCCCTTTGAGATGTATTTTTTTCTTGTCTCAATAAACATACTTGAACTTGAATTATGGGTATTATGGTAAGCAACGGCTATTGTGGTAATCTTGCGGGTATTATAGTAAACT